AAGCAAATCAGAAAGAGTTGGGTCAATCAGAAGTTGGTATAGGAGGGCCATCTGGTCTAGATCTTAAGCTCTTACAAGGCTTCAAATTTAGTAAATAAGGAAACTACAACTTTTCAACTATTTAATTCAACTCAACAAGCCCTTGTTAAATACCAACTATTAGTTCTGGAGTTCAGAAAAGAGATAATTGTGAGCTGGCATCATCAGAGAAGGCTCCATGGAGGAGACTGGACTTAAGCTGGCCCCTGAATGACAGAACACAATAAAGATGGGCTAGATCCCGGAATGAACCAAGTAAGCAGCTTTTGTGGAATGAGGGCTTCAGAAATTGAAGAAGGTCTCTGTCTCAGCTACTGACCCCCTAAAGACATAGTAATCATTAAGGCAAAGGCAGGAGCTGTTTCATTTTTATTTTTGGATTCCCATTGCCTAACATAATGCCTGGCACATAATAGGAGCTTAATAAATGCCTGTTGACTGATTTATTCACTATTTACTGAGCACTGACTATAAGTCTAGCACTACTAGGTGCTACAAACACAAGTCAACAAAACATTAATCACCTACTTTTTACAAAGTATACATTGTATGTATTAAATATACAAACTTCCTTCGGCCCAATGCTGTCTAATCAGAATGAGAGCAAGGAGCCATGAAAAAAAGACAGAGTAATGTGGCCCACATGAGATTTCACTGTTTGCCTGCTCTCAGTCACTAGCACCCCAAATGGGGCTCAGACTTAGAAGATTATATTTCATACTCTGGGCAACTGAATGTATAAGACAGAAAAATAAAAGAACCCTTGGACAAGACATTAAAAAATAAAAGTTTCAGTTTTCAGTTTTTATTTAAATGATTTTAATTAAAAAAGTAAGGAGCCTAAAGACAGGAGCATCTTGAGTCACCCAAATATCCTAGACCTCTTCTAAATCCTCAACTAGGATGGCAATCAAAAGTAGCACAATCCTGGACACACAGAGGAAGGTTAAAAAATACCTGCTGATTACAATAATTAATTTGCTGAAATTAAATTAATTCTTATAATTCTAGAGGAATTATAAGCTTCCAGTGGTGAGGCTTATGGTGGGGGGAAGGGAAAGGAGAAGGTTAGTTTTTCTGAAGGAAAAGATTTCAGCAAATACAGTGACGGAGAGGAACTGTCATCTTCCTGTGGGTCTGCTTTCTGCTAGATTCCCTTTGCCTCATCATTCGTCAAGGAGAGAGAAAAGGAACCATCACATTAATGACACTGACAGACAACATTCAACAGGGAGAGGAGAGGGGAGGGAGAAGAGGAGGTGGCCAGCAAGGGCAAGAACAACAAAAAGAAAAGGAGAGAAGTTAGGAATGCTAGATACAAATAGCCACATAGACCCCAACCTGACAAATCCAAAGAAAACTACAGAAAAGTCATCCAAGGCATGACTAGGAAAGAGTAAGGTTGGAAGACAGTAACCTAGGGAGCCTGATGCATCTGCTAAAAACTAACTCCTCCTATCTGTGTAGGAAGCTAGACAAGATCACCACTTTTGTGTTTTCCAGCTTTAAATTCAATGCTTATAATTTTATGTACACACACACACACACACACACACACACACACACACACACAGATTCCAGATCTGTGATTTCACTGGTATAATAAGCTCCCAGTGAAGAAACAACCTCTTCCAAACAAATTAATAACTGCTCTACAACAAACAGTGTTGGAGAGTTGCCCAGGGCACTGAAAAGTTAAGTGACTTGCCCAGGTTCACACAGCTAGGATGTGTCAGAGGCAGAACTTGAACCCAGGTCTTCAAATCAGTTAATCAATCAGTGTTTACTATGGTTGAGGACTGTGCTACATGCTGGAAAAGTATCTAATACTCCATGATGACTCTCAATAATAAACACCTAGTGATTTTTTTTTAGTGCTTTTCAATTTTTATAACCTTCTTTTATACATTTTCTCATTTATCTTATCAATGACCTTATGAGGTAGGCTATGCAAAAATAGTATTCATTTTATGTATGAAGAAGTTGTCTTACATATATTTTAGCAATGTTCTTAATTTTAATTAATATTTTTACTGGTTACTTTTGCTTTTACATCTAATTCATTTCCACTGGCTCCTACTGAGTGAGACATCTCTTGTTAAAACAAAGATTAAAAAAGAAAGAGGAAAAAAGGAAGTTCGGTAAAACCAATGTTTAACATTATAGGTACCATCATCCTACAACATAGTCCCCCACCTCTGCAATGAAGGGAGGGAAATAATACATTCTCTCAACTCTTCTCCATGACCAAGCTTTGTCATTATAATTACACAACATTCTATTTGGTTTGGCTTAACGATTTTAAATGACTTACATACAACTAGATAGTGGTCAAACTGGGGCCAAAACCAAGTCTCCTGATTCCTCTGCTAAGAAAATTCAGAATGACAAATTTCACAGCACCTAAGGGCAGTCTCTTTAACAGCTGAGAAGTAAATTGCTAGAAATGAGAATGGTACCATCCAGGGCAAAGAAGACCCAGGGAAGTTTAGAGGAAGGTTCTTAGGAGATAAAGTAAGAAGGATTTGCTTCTGCGTAAGGATGAAAAGTTGAGTGTGACAGCAGGAAAAGAACAGAAATCCTTACTTCAATTCTTCAAGAATACCCTTATTTCATTAATATGGGACTCCATCCACCAAGACCAATAACTCCTCCATAAATGGTTTCACAGAAGTGCAGTGGCCAAAAAATTCATCACCTGGTGACTGGTACTTTAGTGCTGAACCTCTTCAAACCTAAAAAGGCAGGTCCTTAGATGACAGACATACAATCAGTCACGGGGCCTATACTCTACCTAACATGTCCTTCAAGAATCCATAATCACTCCTAATTGGGATGAAGCATTGGTGTAGAACTACAATGGAGGTGGAAATAAGACTCAGTGAATATTTGAAAGGGGTAATTGTAAAGAATTTCACATAGTCTGCAACTAGGCTATTATATGATGACCAAGATCCAATCTCAAACTCTCCCCAAAGAAAATTCAATAGGCTGTATGGGAAATCAGAAAAAGCCATTTCAAGAAACCATAAACCAGCTACAGCAAAGTCCTCTCCTCTTTTTCAAAGAAAAGAGACTTTTGAAATAAAAATCTACTAATAGGAGAAAATTATGATCCTAAAGATGGTCAGGATCAGGAAAAACGCACTGAACGAAACAAGGAGATTCTAGACTATCCAGAACAGAGCAGTGTGATGAGAAGCAATAAGACCAGGACAGATGACAAAGCTTTGACTATTGTAGTAAGTATGAACTGAGTATTTACCAAATAGTCCCTAACTAGGTCTTTTGCCAAGGTCAGACTTGAATTTGCTGGCCCAAACTGACATTCAGCCTATATTTGTCCCCTAATTGTGAGGGTAGTGCAATGCAACACAATTGTTCAGCAGCTACTATATTACACTCCAGTAGCAGGTAAAATCTTACCAGGTGGAATACTGAGATGTGTGTGTGCTTTTCTACATTCTTGTCCATGAAAACTAATCCCTCAGAATTAAATAGATATGGTGTGATATCTCCAGCCCTAAAGAGCCTCATCTGATCTCCCTGATCTGGTGTGAATTTTGACATATCAGAGAACCAGCAGCACTTGCTTTACCTCTCCTCCCCAATTCCTTGCAAGAAGTTAGCCAATAGAATCCTGAGATGAGCTAACTGGTTTGGGAAGAAGACAGTATTAAGGAGGACTGAAAGAGAACAGACATGGGTTGCCCATTTTAACCCTATGCTTCCACACTGGATCTTTTCCCTGTCTCCTGGTCTTTCCTTCTCTCTTTCTTAAGATTACCAGAATAATTTGTTCTAAAGATCGACAGGTTTATAGGTTAGCCGACACCTTCACTCTGTGGAATTTTAATTAACTTCTCCCATGTCAGTATGCTAAAGAATGGGGTCTCCATTCTCTGGGATCAGCAGTGTGTTTCAGTCCCTGCTATATCAGCCGTCAAATTGAAGAATTAATGACGTGGCTAATCGGTTCTAATTCTTGGAAAAAAAAATCTGAAAGGAAGCTGTGGAAAGTATCAGGAGGGAAGGTAAAGATTCTATAGAATGAAAAGGAGGAGGCTGGAGGGGGAAGGAGAGATTCATTCTTATAAAAAGAGTAACTCTAACCCAGGTTTAGAGAGTAGCAGTCTCTGTAGTCTTACCATCTATCACCTGGTGGGGGGTGGGAAGAGAAAGATGCTAGGTAAATATTATGACAGAGCAAGTGTGGAAGAGCTTGTGGTTCCTGCTGGGGAGAAGGGATACTGGGGGCCAACTCACCGAGCCCAGGGGGCCCTGGAAAGGGGGTGCTAAGGTGACAACAAAGCTCACCTGTTCAAAGGCTATGCTGAAGAGACTCGATTTCATCTAAGGGAAGAGACAAATCCAACAAAGATCTCAGCTTCAGAAGCTTAGGTCATTTAATGCTACAACTGCAGATGACCTTTACCCCTATAGACATATTCCAGGATTAGAACTCCAGAGGTCCTCTGCCCAGGGGGAAAAAACCCAAGACACACACTAGAGCCTCAATAGCTCATATCTTCCCTTTTCTATATCAACATTAGACTAGTACTTCAGACTGCTGAGACTAACAGAAAGATAGCTAGTGAATGCCACATTTCAAAGATATTGTCTTCCTGCTAAAATCTTAGAGACTTAGCAAGGTCCCCAAAGGAAAATTTGGCCTTCTAGTTATATCAGCATCTTTGCCTTGATGATCCAATCAAGAGATACTTGGAGAAGACAGTTCTCTGAAGGTCATCTTAACCCCAGATCAGTGTTTGGGATACTGATTCAGCCTAAAGCTACCTCCCATCAACCAGGAAGACTTTGAAACTCTCCAAGGAGAGCTGCTCAATGCAGCCTTGTAGATACAGACACAATTATCCCAACTTGCCTTTCTTACAGAAAAAAAAAAAAAACAGGACATAAGCCTCATAGGACAAGACTTTCCAAAAATGTGCAATGTTTACCTGAGTAAAGGACTGATGGCGATGGACCAGACTCGGTCTTCAGTCTGTATGGTGTGTAAGCACTGCCCCAGCTGGCTCGAGGATAGAGACCACACCTAAAAACATAAGAGAGTGACTGCTCTCACTGCCACTGCCTGGAATTAGGGTGAAGATATCAGAGAACAGGAAAACTACTGCAGGAGATTCTCTTGATACTCCAAAAACTTAGAACTCAGGACATGGAGGCCATCTCCAGTCATTCTGATCTATATTTTGCCGCTGGACCCAGAAGGCTCCAGAGGAGTGAGGCTGGTGACTTTGCACAGATCTGCCTCACTTAAATCCAATTCACTTGCAAGGCATGACATCACCTTCCTGATGTCATGGTCCTCTTCAGAGAAGGAAGGACAAACAACAACATCAATAACTTGGGACATAGGATGAAGATTGCCAATGTCCTTAACCAACCCCCAGCTTCAAGCACTCTTACCACAAAAGCCCCAACTCCCAAGCAAAGGCCCCAACCCCCAGGCAACGGCTATACTTTTGCCCCTATATTTCTACCAAACAAACCACACTTTCTAGACAGTCTGTTTATTGCCAGGATCTAAGCACCTCAATGATCTAAACTGAACTATGGTTCCAAACAGGTAGAAAGATGGTATTTACCATTCTTACTCTACCCAAAGTTTGTCAATTTCCCCTCTCCCACCCCTCACTATAATTTTAACTTACACTGAGAGAAAAATAAAAACAGACAAATAGAAGGACAGAAATAAAGACAGGCAGAATTCAAAGCTGGGAAGGTAGTTGTGTTGGTTGTTTATTTGTTGATAATGCCTAGGATTCAATGCTATTCATGTCAGCAGGGAATTTAGCACCTAGAGTCACCAAAAGCAACAGAGAAGCTTAACTCTTTTAAGATTCCATATCTCCCACAGGTTAAAAATATTGCTTGGAGCACACTATCTGGTCCCTATCAGCAAGGAATGTACATTAGCAGCTACTCTGAGCTTAACACTAATCAACACTCACAGAGCCCTCTCAGGATTCAATGCATTTAAAGGTTTCCCATTAAGCACAAGGCTACTCATCCCCAACCCCACCCCCCAATCTTAGAAACGATACACACAAGAACATAAGCTTCTACCCAAACAGAAAGGAAAACCACAAATGAACAGAGCTGTCCCCAGGCATCAGGCAAAAAGGAATCCCAAGGTAAGGAACATGAATCAAGTGACCTCTCAGCATCCCAAAAGGAGAATAAGCTAAGCTCAATCAGGACCTTAGATGAAAGAATATAAAGAAAACATTCTTTGAGGTTTGTGAGTAGAAGTGGTGATAGAGATGATCCTTGTCTTTTTAAGGTCACATAATATCTCTTCCATGCTAGGAAAGGAAAATATTTCTTAAAGAGATTTTTTTTAGGGGAAAGGGGAAGAGAGAGAGAGAGAGAGAGAGAGAGAGAGAGAGAGAGAGAGAGAGAGAGAGAGAGAGAGAGAGAGATCTAAACTAGGAAAGAAGAAACAATAAATACTATACACTGTACTTAATCATCCCTTCTCCACTCTGTGTCCTGACCAACTGATCTATCTACAATCACTCTCATTTCTGCAGTAACTAATTACTCTGTTCTCCATTTCAAGTAGATCCAATATTCAAAATGGAGCTGTACCTATTCCTATTACTTTTCTATGGGTGTGAAGGCTGTGCATTCAGCTTTGAAATGTCATTGCTTCAGTGATGTTAAACAGGATAACTACTACCAAAGGGAAATGTTCCCCCAAATAAAGAGCTCAAACTTATATGGAGATCCTCAAAGAGGTAGTATGGTACAGGTGAAAGAAGGAAACCAAATTCAAAATCCCAGGTCTGTCTCTTACTACCCATGTGACCTTGAATCATTTAATCTCTTTACAACTCAGTTTTCTTAGCTATCAAGTCAGGAAGTTCCACTGGATGGCCTCTAAAATCTCTTTCAGTTCTAAATCCACAACCCTATTGTTCTTTTTCAAATAACAGATGAAAAATGTCATCCATTTTACAAGTGCTTCAGTCACCCTTATTCATTCAATTCTCATCTTTTTCAATGAGATAAACAATAATGAGGAGAAATTATCATTGAGTAATAAATTTACAAGACTACAGGGGTAGGATTAGCCACCATAAAGAAAGTTAAAGTACTCCCCAATTTCTTAACAACTCCTTTAATCCAAGGAAGAGAGACCTGGATTACAAAAGTAACTCTTGATACCCTAGTACCACTTGTGAAAATGACCACAGAAAATGGCCCTTTCAATGTATTCTGAACTGCACCATCACCTAGGAATGTGAGCCTCATAATCTTTGGAGGATGGAAGATAAGACTACTACATCTCTAACACTTTCACCCTTGCCTAAGCTTGAAGAAGTAACCGCTTACTTAGCAGCACAAGTGGTCTGACTTTGTTCCTTGTAACACACAAATATCAGGGACCTCAACTTGACACATTCTCAGGATGGAACCTTCCCATGTTAGTGTATCTCAGCAAAAGAGTCAGCCCAAATTAATCAACAAATCTAAAATTGGGAAAGAAAAAAGGTCCCCCCTTTTTTCAAGTTTCAATTGCCAACAAAGGCATTACAGCAACCTGAAAGGATTTTTCCCTTCTCTCTTCTCCTATGAAAAAAATGTCCTTCCATAAAAAGGGTGAACTGCATTTTTGTAGGAACATCTCAGTAACCATAAAAATATCTCTAAGGTATTAGAAGCCTATTGGAGTGGTTGTAAAAGTAGAGATATTACCATGTGATAGATAGGTATACAGACAGATAAGACTGAGCATTTATTAAGCTCTTACTATGTGCCAGGCATTGTGCTAAGTAAGCACTGGGGATACAAAAACAAGAAAACAAGACTGCCCCTAAACTCAAGAAACTTACATTCTAATAGCAGAAGACATAACATGAAGAAGAACCGAAAAGTGGGAGGAAACGTGGGGAGGGAAAGAGAAGAGAATTCAAGCAATAAACATTAATTAAGCACCTACAATATGCCAGGCACTGTGCTAAGCACTAAGAAGGAAGAACAGTTTTTAAAAAAAGAGCAAGAAGGAATAAGGAGAGATGGAATCCATGAAATTCTGTTTACTCAGAAACTCTTGAGTAATTACAGAATGTCAGAGTTGGAAGGGACCTTTGAAGTAACTGAGTACAACCTATATCTGAACAAGACTCTCATCTTTAACATCACTGACCAGTAGTCATTTAACTTCTGTTTACAGACCTCCAATGGTAGTGGTAGTACAAGGGACCCACTAACCATCAAGGTAACTCATTCCATTTTAGGAAAGCTCTCATTATTGGTAAGTTTTTTTCTTTTATCAAGCTGAAATCTGCCTTTCTACAGTTTTCATCCATTACCAGTAGCTCTGCCATATATGGGTCTCAACATAAAGCTACAGTCCCTGTTCCACTGAATCTCTAACCATTCCTTTCCAGTACTGATTGCACCTTCTCTCTCACCTCCTGATACTCTAGATGTGGAGGAAAAGGAGATACACTCCTTGCTCCCTATGTGCTTAATAAATGCTTGCTTATTGACTGATTCCAAATTACTTGCAGATAGCTATCATGTCCTTCCTCCCAAAGTGTTCCCTTTTCTAGGTTAAATATTCCTAGTTACTTTAACATATCCTATTAAAACACAGTCTCCAGTCCTCTCTTCATTTTAGTCACCTTTCTATGGAGGTGCTTCAATTTGTCAAAGTAATTCCTAAAATGTAGCAACAACCAGACAAAACACCAAATAGTCAGCAGTCTGACTAGGGCAGAGGACAGTGGGAATGTAATTTCCCTTTTACTAGATACTATATCTCTATTAAAACAGGCTGATGGGGCAACTAGGTGGCACAGTAGATAGAACTCCAGTCTTGGAGTCAGGAGGACCTGAATTCAAATCTGGCCTCATGACACTTGACACTTACTAGCTGTGTGACCCTGGGCAAGTCACTTAACCCCAACTTCCTCACCAAAAAGAAAAACGAAAAACAAAACAAAACAGGCTGAGATAGCATTAGCTTTTTAATTGCCATATCACACTTGTTGATTCACGTTGAATTTAGATTTTATTAAGCCCCCAGCTATCTTTTGCAAACAAATGTTATTTAGTCATATCTCCTCCATCCTAAACTTAAGTCTTTAGATTAAAAACTATTCTATGGGACCAGTCATTCAACCAGTTCCAAATCCACATAAATGTATATATGTATACTGCACACATCTTTCCATCTTGTCTACATGTTCCAAGGCTAACATGGAACACTTTACCAACTGATTCAATGAAGCCAGATATCTTATGCTTATGGCATTCTCCAGGTCTAGCAATGTTATACAATGGAAAGACCATTAGACTCAGTCAGAAGATCTGGGTTTTACTCCCAGCTCTGCTATTTACTTTGTATGACTTGGTTAAATCACCTAATTTCTCTGGGCTTCAGTTTCTTCATTTATAAAATGAAGTGGATGGACTAGATGACCTCAAAGGTCCCGCCTAGCTCTAAAATTATGATCCTATGAAAACTGTCAAAAAAAGAAATGATATTAGTTTGGTAAGATCTGCTTGAGTTTTGGGGAAGGTAAGCATGAAGATAAGAAAAAGAGTCAAACCTAGAATACAGGGACCGGCAAAAGAACAAAAACAAAGAAGAGTCATTTGTCCCAGACTTGCATGAAATCTAAGCAACTAAAAGAGTGAGGGTATATGTGTGGTTGATGGATGAGACTGTGTAACACACTTTTAAAAACCTGAGCCGTAAAAAAATAAAAAAAAAACAAACAAACCTGAGCCATTAGTGTGTTTAACTCAATACTTTACATATGAAATAAGTTAGAATAAACTAAATGGACCTAGTTATTAAACATAACTAGTCAGTGTCCCCAAAACTTCTGCCTTCCATTGCAAAACTTAGTTGTACACAAACACATCACTATGCATATATTCTAAACCAGACCTGAGGTGTTAAACATGTAGCCCACAACACTCCCATGTAAGGCCTGAACCAGACTGAAATATAATTTGGAAACATTTAACAAAATAAATAAAATACAATCAAACATTGACAATATTAATACATGCTTTTCTAAGTTAATATGTGGCCCATAGGGATCCTTACACATATAGTTTAGTGGCCCCCATTTCCATTTCAGCTTGACACCACTGTTCAAGACTCCAGCATACACAGTAGGAGAAAGGAAAAACACTGAAAAAGAAGAAAATCTGCACATAGGGCTCCCAGGGTTTGATCTCTAGCAGAAGGATGATCCCTTTTAACACCCTGGTAGTAGCAGCTATGTTAAGAGGAAGGAATAGCAAAGCAGAGAGTAAGAGGCTATGCCTTCATTTCATTTTATATCCTCACAAGTTTTAATTTGGTTTGCTTTTTGACCAGCCTACTACATTGAAGCCAGTATTTCCATGGAAGTGTAGAAGGCAACAATGAATAAGCATGGGTCTGGATAACATTATGGGGTATGATTCCAGGGGCAGGTAGACAGTATCCATGATATACATTTTAATTAAAATTACTTGCTCATGGGGCAGCTAGGTGGCGTAGTGGATAGAGCACCTGCCCTGGATTCAGGAGGACCTGAGTTCAAATCCGACCTCAGACACATAACACTACCTGTGTGACCCTAGGCAAGTCACTTAACCCCATTACCTAGCCAAAAAAATAAAAAAAAGAGATAAAATTACTTGCTCATTATATGATTTCTCAAAGATCTTAGGCTTGTGCTTTTTTATGTGACTATCTTACAACATACAAAGTTTAAGAAAAGAGAAGATTACATAGATTACTGTATTTGCCTCCTTTCACTGATATTCCTAAATTCTGCAAATACCTACAGACAAGAACGGCTTTGTCTTTGAGTCCCCAATGCCTAAGACAATGCTGAGCATATAGGAAACCCTTAAAAATCCTTGTTGAATTGAAATGAACACCAGGAAGCATAGAGAATCAGAAAATTTACTATGTGAGGCAGCAACTTCTCTCTTCCCTAATCCATTCTGTTGTGTGTCTTGGAACCCTACTTGCTGACACAAACAAGCATCTTACCCTTGTTAGCACTATGGAGCCTACAGAGCTCTGAGAAGGAGACAAATAAAATCCTATTCTGCCTCCTCAACAATCAAGCAAATTGTTAGCAAAATTCCATTGGCAGGACTCAGAGGACAAACAATAAGCATAGATGCAGAAAGTTTAATGCAGAGAACCATTTCTCCATCCCTGGTGAATGGGAATCTATTTGGCCGGGAGCTGGGTATTCTCCTGACTAACCTCATCCCAAAGGTGTACTGAGAAGCTTGGTTATGTAGGAATATATAAAGACCTTCTCTAAATGTCTCTGTACCATCTATTAACCATATCATACAGAGAAAGTAGTAGTAATAATAATAACAACAACATTACCAACCTGACGACCTGTAAATAAGAAGATAAAAATTAGCCCACCCAAAAGAAAGTGAGTGGGAGAAGGAAAATTTAAAAAAACCTTCTGAGGTCAGAACTAAACCCACAATTTTGAGGAAATTCAATAAGAAAAAAACCTGGGCAGCCTGTCCTTTTTAAATTCACATCACATTTCAAGTGAGTGGCTACCTTCCCAACTACCATCGGCTCCTCTGCTGGGCCAGCTGGCTGGGACACAGCCTGGCATGACAAGTAGCATGCCAGGCACACATAAGTGAGCTCTTTATTGTACTCTCCACACTTTTAGCCAATCCTGAGACTCAAGGCTCCTTTCCACCTATTTCATACCTTGTTCGTTACATACACATACACACACACCCATCAGCAACCACAGGACTTAACAACCTGTAGGCAATAGAGAACCAACTCACCTTTGCTGTCCTATCCCTGGAGCCACTCACAATGACCCCCCCTTGACAGTCCACACAGTTCACCTCCTGTTCATGAGCTGAGAATTTGATGCTGAAGGTGCCATTGATCTTATGAAGACCAATCTTCCCATCTCTAAAAGAGAAATTGGGATATATCTTCACACACATATAACAGCCAATTATGCCTCCTGCATAAGGACAAGATGGCTGCACAACCACCCATGTAATCCAAGGGCCTGACCCTACTGAGCTTCAGGAGGACTGTTCACAGTAAAGTCCTTTACCTCTAGACATTTTCACCTATTCAGTATACTTGGGGTTTAGTGAGGCCAGGGCCAAATCAAATTAACCACTGCTCAGCACAAAGGATTACCCAAAGCTGCTCCATTTTGCATTCAAGACACCCCTTCCCTGCCCCTCTATCTTTTCACCATTAGCTACCTTGGATCAAGCCTCTCTAAAGAGCTCTGATCTGGGAAGAAGCCACTACTCTTTTCTCTGCGGTCTAAGGCTTAGGCCTTTCATGGTAGAAAGAAAAATTCCAAAAGCAGGCAAAAGGGCTTTTAAGTTAACCAAACACAGATCCCAGTGGTAGGAGGGACAAGGTTAGGAGTCAGGGGAGACCTTACCCTCCTCCACTGACAACATGTGAACTGGCCAGCACAAAACGGCACACATCCTCCTCATGACCAGAAAAAATGGCCAGGGGCCGGCGGTGTAAGCTGGAACCATCTGGGCAGAGCTGGTAGGCACGGATGTCTTCAGCTTGGGAGAGGTACAGACAGCCACCCTCTAGCTGCATCCAGGGCATCAGACTGCAGACATGGGAAGCAAGAAGATACGGATCACCAAGAATATCAACAAAAAAGCCAACTCTACCCCTTGGGAGAGACTAGAGTCTAGTCACTAGACAACCTCCACCCAGCAATGATCTATGGGGATCAGAGCCCTCATCTCTCTGGTAAATAACTACCTATCTAGGACAAATAGTAAAAAAAAAAAAAAAAACCAAACCCAGGGGAAGGCAAGTTGGTTGTTGTTTGTGATTGCCACTGTCTCCCAATAATACTCACTGAAAGTGTCATCCAGGATACTGCAATAGCTGAGTTTGGAGTATCACTGCCTTGAGCTTCACTATTCTACTCCATCTCTTTCTGACAAAATAGTCCTATAATTTTTTTTCTTTGTCTTTCCAAAAGAGAAGTTAAGAAGTTCTAGTGTTCTACATCCCCCCCGCAACTTCTTCAAAGTGGTAGTGGTGGAAGTTATCTTAGAGATATATGATGACTACCCTTCCTATACCCACACACTTGTTATTTTTATTTGTCTGTCCTTCATTTTCAAAGAAGACCAATGACATCATGGGGTAACATCTTGACTTTCTCATGAATTGGATTTAAGTGAGGCAGAGTTGCACAAAGTTGTCAGTCCTAATTCTCTCTTCCAGAGTCATTGAAGTCCAGTGGCAAGACAAAAGCTAGGACAACTGGAGATGGCCCAGGATGCAGTGGATGACCTTGGGTGTCTTTGATGTCTGACCAAGCTCTGAGTGCTCCATAGCACCTGCTTCAACTACCTATATGGCCTTTGGAAAAAATTGTTCTCATCTACCCATTCCAAGGTAAGGAAGTCTTCATGTGCTTGGGGTAGACATCCCCTTAACTCATCAATGGGTTGGAGGCTTGTATTCCTCAACCTAGTTTAGCCCATCTGCCAAGATAGTTTACTGGGGTATGGCCACTGCCTATGCTATAGCTTCTTGGAACCACAAGTGAGAGTTGGATGAAGGTGGACACCAAAGGCTGATGAGCAGCCCGGCTCTGCAAGTCCTTACACCAGAGGTGCTAGCTCTCCCTTAACATCTCATGCACCCTTCCCATCCCACCCCCAACATATGCTACTTTTAAGAGGCATCTTAAAATACCTGAATATACCATCAAATTTTTTTTTGCTATGTTGAGTAGTTTTCCTGAACTTTTTCTTCTTTTTTAAAAAATTCTTTATTATAAAGGATGATTCCCTAGGAAAGGATGGGGGGTGCGGAGGCAATGCAATGGGAAATATGGGTGATATAAAAACAAAAATACCAATAAATAATTATTTTTAAAAAGATATCAAGTTTCAAAAGCAAACTACATATCATTTTCTCTCAGACAGTATTCCAGTTCTGAATCACTACTTAGTACCCTGGAATTTTTACTAGAAAAGGGGATAGAAAGTTGGGGTTGGCAAATATTGGGAATTAGAAGAAAACTTCCAGTCAGATGAGTAAATTATTTCCAGGTTACTTTGTATCCTCTAACTCGAAGTACAAGTGCCCAGCTATGAGGTCTCTAGTCCCATGTCTTTTCCTATAAAGAACAATGAGAGCAGAAGGGAAGAAAGACAAGAGGGAAGAAGGTGCCACCAACAGACCCCTCCCTTTCCTCTTCCTATTGGAGTAAAGCTCCATTTGTCAGTGTAAAGTATAAACCCATTTAAGAAAGGATGCTAATGTACTGATTAGATAGCTAGATTCTCACTAGGGAGATAGATCTGCATTTCTGTATTAGTGGACAAGTGTGACAATAGAAAAAGACAGCTACAGAGCACTCTTCAACAGTGCAGAGGCTACAAAAAATAGTCAGTTCTCACAAAATGACTGATAAGACAAATCTACAAATAGTTAAAAGATTCTTTTTGAGGTCCTACAGGAGGAAGGATTAGAAGCTTCAGGTTAGCCCCATGATACTCAGCGAGCTGCTCTGGAAAAGAATATGGTCAGGCACTGAGAATATTCATTGGTGATGACTAAGCCCCACCAACCCACCACTGCTTATATCTTACCAGACACACTTCAGCAAGGTATCTAAATAGTGCCTAGCATATAGCAGGTGCTTAATAAAAGTTTGTCAATTGAGATAAATGTGCAAGAGCCTTAAAAGTCCTAGTGCTTTACAAGTCCTAAGTACAGAACAGAGACAGTGAGCTTTTCACCCTACTCATTAATACAATTGCCATGGGAATGAGAAAAAGTTCTGCAAATTGACTTGATGGGCCATTAAATGCAGCTTGGATGTCTACTCACGAGGTTTTTACAAGTGTTTGCATATATTACACCTAACATGTGTTAAGTACGTAGAGATATCCATATTTATACACATCATGATATATATTTGTGCCCAGTATCTCCTGTATAAATATGGGCTATCCACGTAGCTGAGAAGAGGATAAATGAGGGACCCAATAACCAGAAATTTAGAACAGCCTTGTAAATAACTACATACTTATACAGAATAAAAACAGGGTCCATGTCACATGAATAGTGAAGACTCCCAGGGAGAAGCAAGATGGTAATTGCTTGTGATTTATTTGCCAAACTGATTAAGGCCAGTCTAGTGTGAGCAGGAAAAAACATTCCAAGGACAGAATCTTGACAGATACAATAACTTACTTTCTGGTTATTAAGAAGCAAGCTTGACAATAGATAAGGTGTCAAAGGATATGAACGAATGATTCTCAAAAGAATTAGAAACTATTAACAATCATACAACTTCTCCAAATCACTAATAAGAGAAATGCAATTCAAAAGAACTCTGAGGTTTTGCTTCACACCTACTAAACTGGCAAAGATGAAAAAAAAAGTTAGGAATAGTCAATACTGAAGAGGCTTTGAAAAAACTGGCATACTAATACACAGGTGCGGAGCTTAAATTGGTCTAATCATGTGGAAAATAATTTTGAATGATTTTTTTAAAAGTGCCTAAAATATCCCTACTCTTTGACTTAGATCCTCCTACTAGGAATGTTCCCCAAGGAAGTCAAAAACAGAAAGGACTCATATATACTAAAATATTCATTGCAGTACTTTTTGTGGTAGTAAATAACTAGAAATATGTAGGAACCTGTTGATTGGAGGACGGCTAAGCAAACTGTGGTACATGACCTCCATGAAATCTTTTCTCATCCACATACTCCCTAGGCTGCTAGTGCCTTCCTCTCAAAATCACCTTTTGCTTATTTTATACTTACCCATCTATGTATATGTTGTCTCCCAGGGCTGGATGACAACATCTTTGAGAGAAAGAATCACTTTATTTCTGTCTTTGTTTACCCCAGCGTCTACCACAGTGACTGGCATGTTAATAGTTGTTTAATAAATGCTTGTTCAGTGATTGATTGATTGGAATATTACTGAACCATATGAAATTACTGATATTGATATGAAGAATTCAGAGAAATGTGGGAAGACTTACATGAACTGACCCAGCAGAACTAGGAAACAATATATACAACTATAACAAAGGAAATCAAAAGAATAAAATGAAACTGAACAATGTATAATTATAATAACAAAATTTAACCCCAGATAAGAGTTAAGAAAATGTACCTTCATGAAGAGGTGGGGATTGTGGATATGAAATATCATATATGCTGTCAGATCTTGTCAATGCGTTCATTAGCTTTGCTAAATGTTTTTTTTCTTCTTTTTTTTTAATCTTCATTATAAGATTACTGGGTAGCTAGGTGGTACAATGGATAGAATGCTGGACCTGGAGTCAGGAAGACTCCTCTTTCTGAATTCAAATCTGGTCTCAGACACTTACTGGCTATGTGACCCTGGGCAAGTCACTTAACCCTGTTGGCCTCAGTTTCCTCATCTGTAAAATGAGCTGGAGAAGGAAATGGCAAACCACTCCATTATCTTTGCCAAGAAAACCCCAAATGGAGTTACAAAGAGTTGGACACAACTGAAAAACCACTGAACAATAAAAAAGGCTTACTGGGCAGGAGAGGGCAAAGGGATATACATTCAGTCAGGCAGCAAGCATTTATTAAGTACTTACTTTGTTTGAAGCTGAGGTAGCTAGATGGCTCAAGAGGCAGCTAGATGGCTCAGTGGATATAGTGCTGGGCCTGGAGTCTGGAAGACCCGAGTTCAAATCTGGCCTCAAACACTTACTAACTATATAACCCAGGGCAAGTCACTTGAACTCTCTTTGCCTTAATTCACTGAAGAAGGAAAAGGCAAACCACTCCAGTAGCTTTGCCAGGAAAACCCCATGGACAGTATAGTCCACTGGGTCACAAAGAGCTGGACACAACTGATCCACTGAAGAACAACAAATTTGCCACGCATTGTGCTAAGTGCTAGGGATACCAAAAAAAAAAAAAGGTAAAAGACCCTGCTCCCAAGGATCTCACGATCTAATGAGAGAGACAACACACAAATAACTATGTGTGAACAAGATATATATGGGATAAATTGCAGAAAATCTACAGAGGAAAGGTACCAGCATTTAGGAGGATTAGGAAAAGCCTCTTGCAGAAGGTAGGATTTTAGATGAGACTTAAAGGAAGCCAGGAAAGTTAGGAGTCAGAGATGAGGAGGGAAAGAGTTCCAAGCATTTTCAGGACATGCAGTGAAAATGCCTAAAGTCAGAGATGAAGTGTCATATTCAAGGAACAGTAAGAAGGCCAGTGTCATTGCACTACAGAGTACATGGGGTGGGGGAGGAAGTGTTACAGTAAAAAGATTGGAATTATAGTAAGGGCCAGGTTATGGGGGGCTTTAGAAGACAAAGAAAGAATTTTATATTTGATCCTGAAAGCAATAGTGAGCCATCAGAGTTTAATAGGAGGGTGACATGGTCAAACTTTCATTTTAGGAAGATTACTTGGACAGCTGAGTGGAGAATGGCCTGGGATGGGAAGAGGCTTGAGGTAGTGACTCATCAGCAGAGTACTTCAGTAGTCCAAGTATGAAGTGATAATGACCTGTACCAAGGTGGTGGCAGTGTCAGAGGAGAGAAGGGAATGTATATAAGATGCTGTGAAGCTAGAAATGACAAGACTTGGCAATTGGTTGGATATGGGGGGAGAGAGGGAGGAGTTGAGGATGACACCTAGTAATAAGTCCAAGTGACTGGGAAGATGGTGGTACCCTCCATAATCAAAGGGTAAATGAATGTGAAAGAAGTATCAATTTTTTTTGAGGCAAGGATAGATGTGGATCTCCTCATAAATCAACTATCACTACCATGGGAATGTTTATCATCACCACTACCATCATCCACAGCAATAGATCATGACAAGCCAACCAATGGGGTTAAGAAGCAAAGGGAAAAGGATGAGTTATGAAACAGAAGGTTCCTTCCTATAACCATTGCTTTAGGATAATCACCTTTAGCCACTGGTACATAGCACTACTGAATAGGTAACAATAGTTCTCAATTATAGTGTTACTCTCCTCTTAGAAAAAAATAACGGATATACTTCTGAAATGACACCTGCCAAGCATAAATGAGCTTGAGGTTTCTGCTCCTCGTCCCTATTGATCAACCAACAATTCTGTACCAAGAACTGTGGTAGGCACCTAAGAGACAGTAAGAGTAAGACAAGATCCTAGCCTTCTGAAGTTTACAATTTAACTAGGGAAACTAGAGTAGCATAAATGAAACAATGAGAGAACAATTACTGCAAAGAAAAAAAAAGGTGGCATTGTCAGCCACCTTCCAGCCTGCTCCTCAAAGTTCAACTTCTACAGTCTTAGTAACAACATGTCTAACTCATTTACATTCTGTTTTGCCTTTTTACAAAGGGGAGTGGGAAAGAGATGTTGAGGGGCCTAACAATGAAGGCAGAAAACCCGTCAGTGAAAGACTTAAACAACAGTAAAACAAGATGGATCTGGTTACTAGTTTCATCATTCACTGTTCAGTCTTCTAACTGGCAAGGAACACGTCTGCCCTTTAGGACCCCTTCTGTGGGGTTCTTGGCCTTCTTGACAAGAAAGGCCAGCCAAACTACAACCACGTCGCTTTTTTGTTTTCCGACATGACCCCATTAGCCTGTGCCCCTGGAAGCTCTGAAAGAGATAACTGGCTACTTGCTTGCGTCTCCACTTGAGCAATGTTCCCTGTCGGCAGCGCCCCCGTCTCCAGTTCTGTGAGACCCTCACTCTTTCCTTCACTGGAATGCTGGTCACCCTGTATGCAGAGGAGAGGATAAACAATATAAGTCACCAAGGCCTCTCTCTATACTCAGAAAAAAATCCCCCAGGATAACCTCCAGGCCACAAGGAGGACACAAGACCTCCCAGAAAGATCTGGATTTAGGTGCCAACAATAATGTAAAGAAAAACAAGCAAAAACAGCAGAACTCTGTTGAATTCAGTGACCTCATATGCTGGACATGACCAGTGTGTTGGTTGTTTTATTTAACTATATTTCTTTATTACAGGGAGGGTTCTAGTTGGGGGAGGAAAAGAGTCATTAGGAAGCAATTTTTTTTAATGTGTGTTAATAAGACAGTCATTTAAAAACAATAAATGCAGGAGCTAATAACCAGATAAGGAAAGGTAAGAAAATATGAGGAGGTAACAGCTCCACAGACTTGATCATTACAGTAATTCTTTGAGATAGGTAAGGCAGGCATTAAGCCTAGTTCTGTTTTTCAGATGTGAAGAGCGAAGCTCAGCACGGTTGTCTCAAGGTCATATAGCTAAGTAAGTGGCAAAACCAAGAAAAGAATATAGCTCTCATGACTCCTAGTCCAATATTCCTTTGATTATAACTATTGCTGCTTCTTAAGTCAGACTTTTGACTAACAAATCCCTTTCATGTTTAAAACAACAGAAGTCTTAAATAGATAGCCTTGCAGGAGAAAAGGATATTTAATATTAATCAGTTGAAGTGAATTTTTTTTTAAAAAGGGCAGGAAATTCTAGATAACAAACACCTGGGTGGGGCCCTAGTAAAGAGAGCACCAAGCTTGAAGTCAGGAACACCTGAGTTTAGATCCCAATTCAGACACTTAGTAACCTCATAAGCCTTCGAAAGTCAATTCACCTCTCTCAGCCTCAGTTTCCACATCTGTAAAATGAAGGTAATAATACCCACCTATGTAAGGGTTGTTGTGATCATCAAAGTGCTTTGCAAACTTTAAAGTGTTATATAAGTGCTAATTGTTGATATTTTTGTGATTATGATTATTAGTTCTTCATTATGTATAGATGGCATACTAAATTGAGACAGAGAACATACTCTAAACAAAGTTGGCAAAAGCTATTACCTTCCTTATCTCCACCCTCCTCTCACTTGGTGACACTTCACCAAAAGTTAAGGTATTCTTCCCTGCCCCCACACTCCCCTTTTCCCTTCCCGGACTCCCTCCAACCCAACCTGGGGCTCAGGTCTGACAGCAGGAAACTTCCAGAGTTACAGCAAAGTCAAGTGCTATTTTGATTAGGGAAAAATTTCTTACCCCTTCTCCCCAACCTCTAAACTTAATCCGTTCCCACCCAGGTTCCTTTAAACTTTCCATTACTGAATTTGGTTTCTATGTATTAAAAAATAGCTCCTAGAAAATGGCAACTTTGTAAACTTACTTCTTCTTCCTTTAGTCCCAAAGCCTTTACAAACATAATTTCTCTAACAGATTACTAAGTATTCTCCTTACACCTATAAAGAATTTATCCCTTCAAAATCAGGGGTAGTGATCAAAATATCTCTGAAAATAAGCAAAAGGAAGAAAAAGGGGAAGAAAACAATAGGAAAAGAATATTCTAAGACAAGAGCAGGTGCTCCTTGGAATTCAAAAATGACTTTGCTCAGATCCCTCAGATGCCCTCCAGCTTACTTCTCCTGAACAGTTATAGGTGTAAGAGTAGGGAGAGCCAACAAAAAATGATTAGTCCCCTGTAAATAAACATCTCACATAGCTGTTAATGCACGTCGGAATCTCTAACTTGGCCTCCGGCCTGCCTGGATTTCCATTTTCCCAGCCCTCCTACTTTAGCCTGGGGCTTATTTTTCCACTCCTAGTTCCCCCCTTCTTCTCCCTCTACCACACTTTCCGGCACTTAGTCACCATTATAATTTGACTGCATTCCTGGGCACATAACCTATTTTAAACAAAAACAACACAACACACACACAGTGAGTCTGCAGTGGGGTAGAAATTAATTTAGGAAGTCATCTAGAGTTTCTCTTTTCTTTTCATGACCTCCAGTCCCTCATGCCCTCCCTCCCAAAAGCAAATAAACCTATCCTGCCACATATGATATTAAAATTGAAAAACAAGCAAAGGACACTGACTCTAATTATTTAGAAGTAACTTAAAGAGTGTCATCAAAGAAATGCATGATGTAGAAAGATAGGTTGGTCAAGAGAACTGAGGAAGGCCTCCAGCATGTTTGGTGGAGCCCCTGTGAAGAACTTGTGGGAGAATATGGATAAGAGTCCCACTGAATGGGCAGGCATGGATGAGTTGCAAACTATATATTGGAGGTAATATCCACCCACATGAAATTATAAATACACTGAAGTACGTAGATAGATAGATAGATTTATAGACAGATATAGCCACAAATATGTATATATCCATGCATTAATACTTCAATAATCTGTTTTCAGAGATGTGAGTTACTCTCATCATTGGTATAAATTCCAACTTCTCCACTTCAGTCAACAGTCTTAATCTGGCAAAATATTCATCACTTAAAGAACTTCTTAAAACTTAGCTAAGCCAGTTCCAACAGAGCAAGCCACTTTGTTTGGTCACTTTTCAGTCATGTCCAACTCTTTGTGACCCCATCTGGGGTTTTCTTGGCAAAGATACTGGAATGGCTTGCCATTTCCTTCTTCAGCTCATTTTATGACGAGGAAACTGAGGACAATAGGGTTAAGTGACTTGCCCAGAGTTACACAGCTAGTGTCTGAAGCCAGATCTGAACTTAAAAAGATGAAACTTCATGACTACAGGTCTGGCACTTTATCCACTTTGCCACCTAGCTACCTTTACGTAGTCACAAGTACCTTTCACTAAAATCTACTCCAATGCCTTACAAGGAAGCAGCCCTGGCTCCTCAAAGGCTATGCCAGTGGACCACAAGCCCTGGCAGGTCCTACCAAGCTGGTATAGGCCCAGTAACAAACTATATATCTCTTATCTAAGGAATAGCCTAAGTTTAAGAAGACTAATCATGAGGATGACCACAGAATGATGAATTTTTCAACCCCAGCAATTCTTGAAAGGTCATCTGCTAAGTATTCTCAAAGACCACTACTAAGGTATAAAAGGGTTGTAAATTAGTTCACCTTGATATTTAGGTTAGAAAGGGCACAACAGCAAAGAAAATAGGGCTGTATAAGGAATGGCTATCAAGCATAGACATCATTGTATAGGCCTTCCTAATATGTCACCACCACACCCAACCAGACCTCCCCTTTCATACCTTCCCTATCAACTGGGCCATAAACTCTGTTCCCAAAATTGAATGACAATGACAAAAGTCCAGTAGTACCTTTTCTGGATTATAGGATTCATTCTCTTTTGAAAATCACCTTTTGGTCTTTGAGACCAAATGGGAATAGGAATAAACACAAAACCTGCTCAATTCCAAGAAGGAAGGACTAAATAAGAGTCCACACATACTTCTTAACTCCACAGAATGGCACTGATCTAAGACTTCCTGGTAGGAGGTAGGATTGGGACTGGCACCACTAATCCTACTATTTTAAAATTCTGCTGCTATGACATATATTAATCTCTCAAGCAGGTTCTCAGTCTAAATGACTAGGCTTCAAATTCATTCTTTGTCTCTACTAAGCTAGTTGTGGGAATGGAGAGAACATATGCCAGTTGCTGTCCAAAAAGCTTTTAACGTCTGCAGGACATTATGATAAAGTCAAACAACAAGCAAGATAAAGAAGGAATGAGAAGTTCTCCTTTAATACATTTGTTCTGTAAGGGAATTCCCTTCTAACTCACTATGTACATTATTAGAGCACATCTTTACCTTACCAACATGCCCTTCTAAAATGAAAATTCAAAGAAGCCTGAGAAGTTAGGGTTTGGGTGTTAGGAAGGTTGGATAGAATAAGGAAAGCTGAAAGAAGAAAGGAACTTGAGGCAGAGCTAAAAGGAAAAAAGTCCATCATTCATTACAATGAAACAGCTTTCCAGGAAAAACATCTCAATATATTTACTATAAAACAATTTCATTTCCCTCTCCCTTCTATTACCATCACCTGCCTCCCCCCCCCTTCATCCCACCCCAAAATCCCAGAGCTTGTAGATTTCCTCTCATTCTTGGCAGTTACTAGAAGAAACATAATACCCTCTTTGGGGAGCTCCCACCAGCTGCTTAAGAAGGGAGGAGAAGATATCCTTCTATGCTACCACTAGAAAAGACCATCTCCAGACTCCTTCCAAGAACATTACAACCAGTGACCATTAGCGCCCTGATGTCAGGGAGCAATTGGCAATGCAGTCCTAGGAAGCAACAACCATCCCTCAGTCCCAAAATATCTGCTTTCAGCCTGAGCTCTTGTTCTTCTTTCCCAGCTTACACTTTCAGTCAGAAAGCATCCTTCTCACTTTATTTCTAACCTGACAGGGCAGCATATACTTCTTCTAACAATTAGTGGTCAGAGTGCCATTTGATAGGTTTTTTTTTTTTAAACAAGTTCCAGGTTGGTTACTTAATAGCAAAGTGAGATTCAATGTCATTCCCTTCACCTCCAACCTCTTGCTTTTCAAGTGGCAAGAAATCAAAAGGCTCAAAGCAAATAGTCACTTCTATATCACATCTCTTCATCCACCTACCCCCAAACATATGAAGATACCTAATACAACCCAAAGAATACTCTTCAGCCTCTAAACCCGGCAGTAGGGAGGAACAAGACATCAGTTAGCCCTTAACCCCTCAGCAAAGACCACCAACAAAGAGGTTCATGAGTGTCAACTGTAGGCAGAGGCAGTTTCTCTCCATGCCAGACAAAAACTGAACGGAGCCTCCTTCATCATTTCCCAAAGGCAACAGCCGGAGTTGAGTGAAGACCGTGAAAACTGTACAAGAGCTGGAGGAGAAAATATAATGTAAGGAATGATTCGGAATCAGGGGCAGAGGAAGGAGGAGGGATGAACTAGGTGACCCCAAATGTCTTTTCCATCTCTAACTCCTATGATTCTTTGACCTCCAATT